TACATATTTTTTTCTGATATTGTTTCTCTTTTCAATAATGTTTAAATTTCTGTGATGTCTAGCAAGAGAAAAAAGTTATGAACCAAACAAATTTTGAATTCTAGGTAAAGTGCCCTCTAGCGGCGCATAATGAAACTTTTCTCTGACTGGTCCAATAGAGCTTCATCTACTTAGTGGGTGTGCCAAATGAGAGACTAATCGAACATGAATTAAATAAGTTATTTAAATAAAAAAATTAAAAAAAATGAACTTCGACAAGCTGTAACTTGCGAACAATTGACAATTCGAAAAAAAATTTCATTACATACTGCTATTATTTTAATCCATAGAATCACCTCCCGGAGTTTCCTGACGAAGTTTCAAAACAACATGTATTTCCCTGCAGTTGCACGCGCTAAACTTTATTAACGATTTTTGTTACTTCGGCCTATGGAAATCGGCAGATTATATTTTTCTCGTTTTCCTTGAATTATTTCCTTCAAAATAAAAAAAAAATCGACCGCGCTCGAGAATGTCGGCACGTTGATGTGATGAATTACTTCAAATTAAAAATTGGAGATACCGAAGATATGGGAAATAGATTGTTGTCACTAAAACTACGCCCTAAAAAAACGGTGAAAAACAGATACTTTGAAAACGGAGATTTTTATGAATCTGTTTCCCATCAGAACACAATTATCCTCTATCCAAAAAAAACAAATGAATTTAATTAATAAAAATTATACCTTTGTATTTGATGTCTACGTCGCTCTTCCTTCCATAAAATGGCACGGATGGATACAATCGTAATGTTTCTTTGATTACTAACTCTAAATATTTCATTACATGAATGTCGTCAAAGGTTATAGGTCGGTTTCTGTTTTTCCCAAATATTGTCCGTTGCTCTTCCATAGCTTGTGCCTGTAGAACCGTAGTGATTATTTTTTTACTGTATTTTAAAGGTATGAAACAAACAAATTAAACAAAAAACGACATGCGAAGGAACTTATGAAATGTCCTTCCCTGAAAATAACGAATGGATTATTGAGTTTGAATAAAATTCGGCTCAGGAAAGTGACGGGACTTATAACGGGACACTGTCACTTCGGGAAACATATAAGTATACAAGCTAAGGCCTGTGACAGGTCGATCTGCCTAGTGACGTGACTTGGAGGATGAAACTTCTTTGCATACCCAGGATTTGCACATAGTACAATGAGTAGTAGGATTCCTATGGGCTGAGACATGAACTAAAAGGACAAAACTACTTGCTGAACAGGTTTGAAATGGTTCTTACCTGTACTTCTGGATTTTCTGCTAAAGAATACAAGGCAAAGCTGATGGCTGCACCAGTGGTGTCATGCCCCTGAAAACATATTTTCTCAGATAACTCTAAAATAATTTTCTTTATGCCTAATTTTGTAAACGAACCTCAAACAGCATCGTGTTGACTTCTTCTTTAATGTACCAATCAGGTAAAGGTTCGCCATCTACTTTAGACTGTAACAGTAAATCGAGGAAGGCTAATTTCTTTTTTTCACCCAAATCTTCATCGATTTGCTGTCCTTCACTTCCCTGTAACGCTTTCTTCCTAGCACGAATCAAAGAGTCGGTATTGGCGTGTAAGAGCTTCACATATTTCGATTCCTTGTAATAATCTCCCGTTAGTGCATACAGTGTATTCGACTGCTTCAGGGCCGAAAAACTTCGGTCGGCGGTTATCCTGCACATTTCTTTGACCGCGAAAGCATATTCCGATTGTTTGTTATTTGTCCATCTAAAATTGATGTACTTATTGATTATGTATTATTACACACCTCTACCGAAACAGTTAGTGAGAAAAGTAATGGGAAAAGTACTAGAATGCATAGTCTCATTGCACCATAACCCCATAACCCAGTATTGAGCTAGTCCACGGACATTTTCCCTTACTTGTTATCAGTAACGTAATATTTCGTTAAAAATTACTAAAAGCGACGTCTTCAAACAATAGTTGTTTGTTTAACTGGGCAGTAAAGTACAAGACTTAATGCCGTAGCTGGTAGTTAGACGAGACGCAGCCGAGTCTATGAAAGCAACCAAGGGCCCATCTACTTTACCGCCAAGTTAAAACATATAATTTTATGCCGGTCAATTTTAATTTTATAGCAAATTATTGAATCAGCAAAGCAAATAGAGTGTAATTTATTACCAGAAAAATCGATGAAGACGTATCAGCAAACATATAAAAAATTTATTGATTATTGGGAGAATAACTATGTTTTGATCAATATGGTCAATATCTGTGATGCTTAGGGCTACTTTGAATGTCTACAACAACATCGATATTGGAAAGTATCTAAAATTAAAAGCATTCTTGAAACGGCAATCGGATGGCAATCATGTAAAAAAATCACTTGTTTTTGAAAATGAAAAAATTTAAACATTTCTGACGTATATTATAGTAGGGGAGCCCACGATGCTAAACGGGGATTTACTCGAGCGTCGTAAGGACCGATTGGATTTTGAAGATTAGATGGTAGAAAGAAAAAAGGTTATATGATGTATATCCTTCCACCGGTGGGGGGAGCGCCTACAGGCTTTCAAAAATGTAAAAAAAAACAGTCACATGGAAATACTCGAGCGCGTCAGATATTGGTAGTGTATATGCCTTACGTGTCTCCGATAACGGAGATATGTTAATCTGCCGATTTGGATGGTGGGGGCGGTCATATGGAAAGGTTAAATATGGGGAAAAAAAATTTTCTCGAGCGCGTCAGATNTAGGCCTTCATGCCAAACCGTATCGAAGGCCTTTGCGACGTCCAGGAAGACAGCACCAGTGTACTGTCCCCTGTTGAAGGCCGCCGTGATGTGCTCGGTAAGGCGAACTAAATATCATACCTTCGCTAGTTAACAATCCAGTGCCCAACCAATTGTGTAGAAACCTGTAATCCACGGACTTAGTCAGAACATCCTGCGTGCTTAACAAATACTCGACAAAATCGTAATCAGTTGTTAGAATATTTGACTGCATTACCAAATCCATGTAGATTATCTTGCCATATTGTTTTATTAGTCTGTCAGCATCGTCTAAGATTGCTGTAAAGACAACAACACAATTTATATACCCACTTCCCTTTAAACTCTACCGTAATGATCGTAAATAAAAATCCTCGATTTTCGAGAAGGTTTACAATGCGATTGTCAATTTTGGCTGTTTTCTATATCTGTAACAAAATTATGTGCGTGTCTTCTGTGAAAATGTTTTATTTTTGTAAAAAATATTCTTATACTCTGATTTGTCATAAAATCCAGTGGTGTACATAATATTTTTCCTCTTCTTCAATTACATATAACAAAACTATATACAGGGTGTGCCATCTAAGAGGGATTCTTTTGTAACTCTGTAACTGTAGAATTCATAAAAAAAATAGTTTCAATAAAAGATGCCTGGAATCATATGGGCCATGTAAAGAAAATATTTTTAGCTTGTTCATTTCGCGAGTTCATTTTGTTTTAAATGGAACACCCTGTAGATATATTATTGCATTTTTGAATTCCTTGGTTAATATTAAGTGGAGTTTATTAAATGTACATTGTGTTTAAAACTTACCGTTTTCGAGATAATCAGTTGTTTTTGAAAAAAAATCACAATTTCAGCTCTTTAAATGAAGCTAGATAGCGTCTAAACGGTAAGAGTTAGAAACATTATTCAGACTCGAAAATACTGAGACCCACATTAAATAATCTTAAGAGTTGAAAAACTTTTCAGAATGGAATGACCCATACTAATTGTCATGGGTGAATGCAAAATTGAATGCACTTTCGACTGATATAAAGTTGTCCATACTTATCTTTAACAGTTTTCTAGAAAAATCAGGTTCATTTCTAAAGTCCGAAAAAGTAGCTATGTAACAGCATCAAGAAGGCCTTGCAAAACCACTTTTCTCTCACATTTTATCATGCCTTGGACTGGACAGTGTCAATATTTACTGGCATGTTTAAAAAGTGGTTTGACAAACAAAAGCAATACTAACAACAACTAAAACAAAACGCAAAACGAAACAAACTGAAACTCGGAACACAACAAGGAGAAGAATACTTAGAATGTTGATTTACATCAATTGCTCGAAGTGTCCTCCATTTTGATTAATACACAAACGAATTCGGTTTTTAAGAGACTGTTCAACATTGGTCAACATGTCTGACGTAATTTCTTGAAATGCTACTGTAATGCGATGCCACATATCTTCCGCGGTAGTTGGTGGTGTAACGTAAACTTTGCTTTTTATAAATCCCCATAAAAAGAAGTAGCAACTTGTCCTATCTGGACACCTTGAAGGTCAACTCACTGGTCCTCCGCGCCCAAACCATCTGTCCTGTCGGGAAAAGTTTCGTGTAAAAACTGATGAACCGCAGCGGTATTGTGAGGTGAGCACCATCATGTTGCATCCAAATTCTTCGAAGTGAAGCTAAAGGAATGCCTCCTAACAAATCTTCTAGAGTGTTTGTTAAAAAGTTTAAAAAAACTGCTCCGGTTAGATGCTGGTCAAAAAAGAATGGTCCAACGACATGGGTTCTCAAAATTGCTCCCCATAGGTTCAAAGACCATCGTTGGCTATGAGTTTTCCGGAATTGGTGAGGTTTTATCGTGTTATAACAATGGCTATTATGACTATTAACGAAACCATTTTTATGAAAAGTAGCCTCATCGGAGAACATGACCCGTTTAAAAAAATCATCATCTTGATTTAACATTTCAAGTGCCCACTGACAAAACTCCAGTCTCCGCTGAAAGTCTACTTTTAGTAACTCTTGGTGTAATTGGATGCGATAAGGATGCTTGTGCTGTACTTTTGTAAAATCCTATGTATCCACGTTGTACAATTGCAAGGCCTTCTTGATGCTGACTTGATGCTTGATGCATAGCTACTTTTGCAGACTAGAAAAGAACCTGATGTTTCTTTTATAGATAAGTATGGACAACCTTATATCAATCGAAAGGGCATTCAATTTTGCATTCACTCATGACAATTAATATGTGTCATTCCATTTGTAAAAAAAAAAGTTTTTCAATTCATAAGATTATTAAATGTAGGTGTCAGTATTTCCGAGTCTGAATAACGTACACGTTTTGCTCACAGATTGCAAAATAGAGTAATTTATGCCAAAACGAACTGTGAAAACTGCAGATTACTAACTCTTACGGTTTGACGCTATCTAGCCTCATTTTGAGATCGTGATTTTTTTCAAAAACAACTGACTATCAACTCTACCAAGGAATTCAAAAACGCAATAATATACAGGGTGTTCCATTTAAAATAACAAAGTTAAGTAGCGCCCACGCGAATTTACATGAGTCCAGACAACTTTTATTAAAATCATTTTTTTATAAATTTTACGGGTACAGAGTTACAGAAGAATTCCTCTTAGGTAGAACAAACACACTGTATATACTTTTCATGTCCATTTTAAAAAATGTTTAATATATTTTAATACTTGTAGGTATTAACACGAATTTGACTTTTATCCTTTTATCACAACAAATAAACAACGATTGTCCAGGAAACGATTTCATAAACAATTAGATTATAATGAAAAAATGTTAGGTATGCATTAATAAAAATTTCTTAGTTCATATCCATTAATTAATATTGTTGGCGATTTCAGAAAAAAATAATACCTACGTGTACCTCGTGGTAAAAACAAATTCTCGGACTCAAAGCTTGTCGGTCTCAATTTGCAATGTATTTAAGCAATTTCTAAATATATCAACTTGACTCGAATGAAGCCCAAATCATGGCACTCTTAAAAATTTGACACCCTTGCCCAATAAATGTTGAAATAAATCGTAGGCAAGTACTTACTTCCACAACCGCCGCCAAATTCAAGAGCAGCTCCAATCATAGGCCATCCGGGCACGGCAGGGAGCCATTGCAACTTTCTTTTCCGTGTGTAATTTGTACAAAAATTGTAGAGGACGTACGAACATGTTATAATAAAAATAACGAGTGAAATGTATAACGAGACACCCATGTCTGTTACAACAGAAATGAGAGTTCAGTTAAGTGGCACAAGCTTTTTATAATTTTTAATGATAAAATTTGTTTTTAAGTAAAATTACTACTAAGGCCGATCGCAAACACAACCATTTGTGGTCGCCACAACACTCTGCGGACTGTATTTTGTATGAAGTTTAAATAGTGGTTCGATCCAGCCACGCGCTATGACAGCAGCTGTACTTCGCTACTTGTAGCCGACGACAGCCACTCGTCTTTCAGCGCAAACACAGTTAGTGCAGACGGTATCAGTTTCAAAGAGTACATATTTGTGTGAATCGTATAGCCACGGAGATTTTTGGCTCTTTGACTTTAAAATATTACTAGAAATGAAAATTTTTCTATGCGCATAAAAAAAGTGGGTTTAACTTTTGGCGGCACAATATGTTTTAAAAATTCGAAATATATGTCATATTTTTCTTCCTATTTAATTATGTATCTCTTCAAGAGTTGATTTTAGGTGAGGAAAAAAATGTTTGTAATTAAATTTTACAAAATATGACTAGTTACAAATCGAATGAATCATGATTATTATTGTAAAAATCGAAAAAATCGACAAAAATGGGGTTAAAAAACATTACTTTTTAGTGAATTTTTTTGGGGTCTTTAACTTGGGTATAGGACCTTCATACTTGGCTCAAGAAAAGTTCATGTTATGTAGAATCATCACACCAAATTTCGTCAAAATCGGTTCTATAATTTTGCATAATAATTATGCAATACTGATTTTGAAAAAAAATTTGGAAATTTTCAAAATTTTGCACAGCAAAAACCAAAGCCCTTAGATACTTTGTTTGACCCGTAGGTCGAATGTTCAAATGGTTTAAATAAAGAACAAACTGCACTGATTACTAGTTAACAATTTATTCTAAATAAGAGTTATCTTGCATGTTGATGGTTTAAAGATTCGTTACAAACTGGCTGTCGATAGTGTACATTCCTCCCAATCACATATATAAGGGCTCTCAAGCTTTCAAACGCTTTTTGAAAAATTCGAATCCGTCAATTAGGAAAGCTCTCGCGCTTGTTTAAACATTGGTCGAATTTTTGTACTATAATTTTGTATTTTTGTAATATAATGAGTTAATTTCTGATTTGCTTATATTTTAAACAGTAAATAATATTTGAATTATACCTTAATCACAAAAGAAATAATGATTAAATTAATAATTAATTAATTAATTACTAATTTTCGATATATTTTGAAAATAATTGTTGTTTAAACAATTCTAGAATATTTAAATAAATATGTTTTTGATCTTTGATAAACAGCATATAAGTTTATGCATTTACCTTTGATACAATAAAAAAATAAAGTTGATAATTAAAGGAAGTTAAAGATAAATAATTATCGGACTGTTGAATAATTATTAATGATAGGCATTTGAAACTATGCTAATTGTTTTGTTTTTAAATCGCGAAACATCGATTTAAAAAAAAAATCAAATCAAAATCGGACCTCTAGAAGCTGAGATATTAAAAATTTTTAAGCCCATTAATTCACTTGGACCTGGTAAGTACTCGGAATACCAAAGGTATTTTTCGAAAAATTAGCCCGGATGTCCTAGTACATTTAGTGTAAATGACGGTTAACTTTGATCGGCTATAACTGCATAACTAATCCCAGCCACACACAAAAAAAAAGTTGGATATACTTTTATGCGACATATATTTTTCGTAGTAATTTGGCCTCCTGAATACGAATCTGGGGTCAGAATTGGCCCATACGTCACAATATTTTAATAACCTCAAAAAACTTGTGAAAAGTAGTGAAAATTGATGTATATACTGGAAAAATTTGGAAAAAAATTTATTTCCACATCAAATAGTACATTTTTATGTAAAAGACTGCTGAATTCAAATCCACTATCAGAATTGAGCTAGAACGTGTGTTTTTTTTTCTAACCTCAAAAATCCGAGCAGGACTGGTTATTTTGAAATTCTGAGCGGATTTTGACCAGATTTTGTATAAAGGGGTTTTTTGGATCGCTGATTACGAATTTGAATTCACATTGTAAAAATTCAAGATGGCTGATCCAATANAAGATATGGGAAATAGATTGTTGTCACTAAAACTACGCCCTAAAAAAACGGTGAAAAACAGATACTTTGAAAACGGAGATTTTTATGAATCTGTTTCCCATCAGAACACAATTATCCTCTATCCAAAAAAAACAAATGAATTTAATTAATAAAAATTATACCTTTGTATTTGATGTCTACGTCGCTCTTCCTTCCATAAAATGGCACGGATGGATACAATCGTAATGTTTCTTTGATTACTAACTCTAAATATTTCATTACATGAATGTCGTCAAAGGTTATAGGTCGGTTTCTGTTTTTCCCAAATATTGTCCGTTGCTCTTCCATAGCTTGTGCCTGTAGAACCGTAGTGATTATTTTTTTACTGTATTTTAAAGGTATGAAACAAACAAATTAAACAAAAAACGACATGCGAAGGAACTTATGAAATGTCCTTCCCTGAAAATAACGAATGGATTATTGAGTTTGAATAAAATTCGGCTCAGGAAAGTGACGGGACTTATAACGGGACACTGTCACTTCGGGAAACATATAAGTATACAAGCTAAGGCCTGTGACAGGTCGATCTGCCTAGTGACGTGACTTGGAGGATGAAACTTCTTTGCATACCCAGGATTTGCACATAGTACAATGAGTAGTAGGATTCCTATGGGCTGAGACATGAACTAAAAGGACAAAACTACTTGCTGAACAGGTTTGAAATGGTTCTTACCTGTACTTCTGGATTTTCTGCTAAAGAATACAAGGCAAAGCTGATGGCTGCACCAGTGGTGTCATGCCCCTGAAAACATATTTTCTCAGATAACTCTAAAATAATTTTCTTTATGCCTAATTTTGTAAACGAACCTCAAACAGCATCGTGTTGACTTCTTCTTTAATGTACCAATCAGGTAAAGGTTCGCCATCTACTTTAGACTGTAACAGTAAATCGAGGAAGGCTAATTTCTTTTTTTCACCCAAATCTTCATCGATTTGCTGTCCTTCACTTCCCTGTAACGCTTTCTTCCTAGCACGAATCAAAGAGTCGGTATTGGCGTGTAAGAGCTTCACATATTTCGATTCCTTGTAATAATCTCCCGTTAGTGCATACAGTGTATTCGACTGCTTCAGGGCCGAAAAACTTCGGTCGGCGGTTATCCTGCACATTTCTTTGACCGCGAAAGCATATTCCGATTGTTTGTTCGTCTGCGCGTTTATCTTTACACCCATTGAGGTTTCTGAAACACAAACTTCAAACAATAAGAGAAACAGATTGATAACATTATTTTGAAAAAAAATTAATCACTATAAGCTTAAATATGTACAGGGTGAATCCTAAACGCGTATATACATTTTAAACAGTAGTAAAGTTTACGATTTAGAACATTCATAGATTTTTTTACGAAAAAAATCAATAACAAAAAGTAAAATATAACATAAATATAATTTTTTTTAATGGAAAATGAGTTGGCAGCTGCTGACTTTATCATTGCTACTCCTGTTTTCATCAATAAACTATTTGTGTCTAAATATCGAACTCTTACTTAATAAAAGATAGAGATCTTACAAAATATCTTCACCAAAACCATTTTTTTTAAACTCCAGTTAACTACATTTCGTTGTATTTCTAATAAAGAAATGTACACGAAGTTTGGTAGATGTATTTATAAGCTTACGATCATTTCGACACAACCTACTGTTAAAATAAAAAATTATGCTTTAATTACTACAAATTATTATTATGAAGTAGTTTTTAAATGAAGTAGCAAAAATGGTACCAGTGAATGTAGACCCAAAAATAAGAAGATTGCAGTAAAAATACCGTTAGGTCAGGTGAACGTGCAGGCCAATAAACAGGGGCATCACATTCTCTAAGGGCAAGTGTACTTATGTGCAGGCGCCCCATCGTGCATATACCACATCACCTGACGTGTAGCGAGGGGTACATCCTCAAGTAATGTTGGAAGATTTTCGTTCAAAAATCTAAGATACTCGGTCGCTCCAAGCCTGTGTGGAAGAATAGAAGGACCTACTAGACCAAGGGTCGGCAACTGGCGGACCGCGGTCCAGGTCCGGACCGCGAAATGTAACATATTGGAGCGCCAAAAATTTTTTGAAAGTATAAATTACTCAAATAAATTATTTAAAAAATGTTTTTTACGTTTAAGTGCCAATCTTATCATTTTTTTCTAGTATTTTACAATTGTGTGTGTGTTTTGACTTCTTAATGGTTAGTAAGCAGATTAAATTTGAGTCCAAATAAAAAAATAAGAAATATGAATTTTTTTTCTGGACCTCGTTAAAAATTTTCAAAAGTATTCGGACCCCACCTAAAATTACTTGCCGACCCCTGTACTAGACTATTTCCTACAATTCCCATCCAAACGTTTTAACTGAAATTATGTTGACATCTTGAAACAAATATTTCACGAGTATTTTCTTCCGACCATGAATGAACATTATGAAGGTTTACTGCACCTACTCTGCTCTACTCTAAGATTTTCATGAGCTACATTCAACACAAGACTGTGAGAAACTTGCAGTTGCCTGGATGCCTGTCTTGTGCTTGTACCAGTCTTATTCTAGATGTTCCAGTATAGCTTCCTCAGTTTCAACAGTTCAGACATTACGCCTTCGTCCGGTACCCTCACGATTGCTGAATTTTAGTTTCGTGACGCCTTCTTTCCACCGAGGCCAATGTTGAGGAATAGGTGGGTTTGGATATCTTTGGTGGTATAATCTTACTGCAGCGTTACTATTTTTTCTGGATTCGAAAAACACTTGAAGCATGTCGACATATTCGTCATTGGTATAAATTTTATTTGCCATAATTATTTGATAATAAATTAATGTGTCAATTTATTAATATAATAAATAACAGTTTATTTGTTTTAACATCCNATTTGGCATCATAAGGATTGCTGGTTGATCTCACCTTCATTAATCACACATCTGGAGCCAGATTTTCAGGTGGAGTCAAATTTGTAGGCAGAGTCATAATTTTAGGCCTAGTAGGCGGCATTTTTTCGGCAAAGTCACATTTTTAGATTGAAGGCATAAGCAGATGCAGTGATGTGCTGTGTGGCAGTAATGTGTCCTTTTCCTTGAACTTTAAAATTATTAAGAAATATAAGCATCTAAATGCCATAGGAAAACTGCATAGTAGTTAAAAATCTGATTGGAAAACCATAAGCCCATGCACGACTAAATATATGAAAGTATAAACTTTTTTGTCTTGTCCCATGGAAACAAGCACATCACACTACACATCATTACATGTGTAGAGTCCTTAAGTGATTTTTTTAAGCGAAGTCACATTTTTAGATGGAGTGGAATCTTTTACCTTGATTTATGAAAATCTGGCTCCAGATGTGTAATCACATATCTGAAAGTAAAATTTTCCGCTCTTTTCATTTCCGGGGTCAAAAGTAGGGCATCCCATTTGAAAAAATTAACTTGACCTTGAAATAACCTTGAAGGTCAAGCTCAAGGTCAAATCTAGGATCACCATTGAATAGCCAGGGAAAAATCCTAAATCTTTTGTCTGAATCAGTTTTCTTCAAAATGCATTTTTCGAAAGTTATTGTGCTGTTTCCATACTTTTGGGACACGTATAGTAGTTGTATTGCTTCTATATCCATGTTCCATAATAATGGGCAGTTATTCATATATTGTCAGACGAGTAAGGGAGATGGGGGTGCAGTGGCTTTGTGAAAATTAAATTCAACCCAGTGCTATATGTCTTTACTTGCTGTGGTTTTAAATTATTGGCCTTGTCTTATATACAGCGCAAATTTTGTGAAAAGTGAATTCTTAAATCTTCAGTGAAACGGGTAATGTCATATAGAGGGAGTCTAAATTTCACATTTTTTAATCGTCTTTGAAAGATCTTCAGTTATCAAATAATCAAGGTTTGAAATTCAAATTTTGTATACTATTTATGTATTTCAATAATTTTTTCCAACAGATATGTCAGGACATCCCCAACCCCATAGATCTGCCAAATAAAAAAAATATAAGTTTCCAAAAATTATTTATTTCCCATTTATTATTAAAGAAATATATAACAGTTTATAAGAAGTTTTCAATCACATTCACCATTTTCTTTGTGTCAGTTTTATTTTGATTCCGTTTTTGGACTTTAGGACAGCTTCAGAAATTAATATTATTTTGTGTTCACACTGAGGTGGATGAAGTTCAAAACTCCTCAGTATTCTGGACAAGGTACTCTTTAGTTCCAACATAGCAAACCTTTGCCCTGAAATATCATAAAGAAACAGTTGGTATAATAATATAAGAAATGTCTAAATTTATTTTTTCTTCAAGCGTATAATAATACTTATATTATATAGTGCAACACCTCCTTTAGAAGCAGCCTATTGTTTAACTAGTACAAATATTTTTAATTTTTTAACTAGTAAAAAAATGTAACAATGTGTAGGTAAGTATCCTAGCAACGAATTAAAGATTCAAGAAGCTTTGACGTTTCATTAAGTGTCAGTTGAAATTTGATGTCGCGTCGGGTCGTTTTTAAAATGTCTGAAGAAATGCAGTGCACACCACCAGAATTACTGGAAATTGCAAATACATCAGTGGCAACACTTATACCAACAAAGTCGAGAAAAATTTATGAAAATGCTTATGATAAATTCATAAATTGGGCAAAAGAAAATAATGCACNTTTGGTGGTATAATCTTACTGCAGCGTTACTATTTTTTCTGGATTCGAAAAACACTTGAAGCATGTCGACATATTCGTCATTGGTATAAATTTTATTTGCCATAATTATTTGATAATAAATTAATGTGTCAATTTATTAATATAATAAATAACAGTTTATTTGTTTTAACATCCGCCTGCTTTATTTTTTACAAATTTTCGCAAATGAACTGTAATGAACGATGACGCATCTAATTTTTTTACTAGAAAACTATCGGTTTTATCGAAAAATTACAAGAGGTAAAAAAGTTGCGCAATAAATCTATCTCCCCAATAAATATTTTTAAATAAATAATTTGCTTCATATAAAAAATTTCTAATAAAATATTGCTATGGGGTTGACTGTTTCACTCCTTTATAAAATACGCCAATGATCGAACAAATAATGAAAAGTTGTCTCCTCATTAGTAGGATGCTCATACCAAGTTTCGTGTCTGTAGCATTCCTCATGTTAAAGAAAAAAATTAAAATGTGAATTTGAATCCCCTCCTTTAAGAGGATATATCGCCTCAGGGGTGCAATTTTCATATTTTTACTTCAATCCTTTTATTTTTGGCTCTACATTCACTGGTACCATTTTTGCTACTTCATTTAAAAAACACCCTGTATACTGTTCAAAACTTAGTTGAATTCAGTATGAAAACCTACAAAAGTACCTGACATCAATATTTAGTATAATTTAAATACTATAATAAAATTATTTGCATAATTGTATGCAAGATTATAAATCGTATGAAAATCTGCCATCTAATGTTTTTCAACAATATTGTCTATTTCATGTTGTGGACAGCCAATGTTATAGTCATTGAAATTTAAAATTTTCGTCGTTTTGGTTTACGATAAACAAAAAAGTCAACGCTGAAGTCACCGCTTTGAAAATAATTCGAAAGAGTTGATAGACTAGATCTCCTTACCCAATGTATTACGAATTTAATATGAGAATTGCACTATTACGTCAGGATTTTTTGTAACCTCAAAAACTAGGTCCAAATAGCAGAAAATGGTGCTCACTTCTGATGAAAAACTATGTAGATGACATCATGAAAAGCAGTTGTGCATGTAAATGAGAACTTAAGCACGTGATACTTTGGTATATAGGTTAGAATAACAACCTAACCTTAAAACCATACGCAAAAGCATTCAATCCGTTCAAATTCTATGGGAATCTAGTATGTTTTTTAAAGAGATTTTTGTTGAGTATAAAAATTAATAATTCAGTCGTAGTTGTTATTAGAATGTTGAAAAATAACGACTGTATCTTGAGTACACCAAAGAAATTTGTATGTTAAAGTGTGTATAAAATTTTTATTAAAATCTTAGCTGAGCGCTTTCGACTACATAGTCATCATCGGAGCTATTCCAAAAGAGGTTGAAATGACATTATATAAAGCAAAAAATTTTTACTTACGTTAAATTTTAGATACCAAAAAAAATATTTAGCAAACGTTTAAAATCTTAATAAGTTCGACATAACAATATACAACATTAAATATAACATCAATTACTAGTAAATAACAAGAGAAAGAGTTGGTAATCCGTAGAATTGTAGAATGTCAATTTTCAATTTCATTTAACATTTAACCTCACTTTATTTCACTCCACGTGTTTGACATTGTTAGTCAATTTCTGTTTCTTTCTCTTGTTATTTACCAGTAATTGATGTTATATTTAATGTTGTATATTGTTATGTCGAACTTATTAAGATTTTCAACGTTTCCTAAATATTTTTTTTTTGGTATCTAAAATTTAACGTCAGTAAAAATTTTTTGCTTTATATAATGTCATTTNATTTTGTGCTGAGATTGAACATCGCGTTATCCGCTATAAATTTTCAAAATTAGTAATTTTCTATATTCACGCTTGAAGCAAAAATAGTATATGTCACTCGGAGTGGAAGGCTCATTATGTGTTTTGCCCAATTTGCTCAGCCTCGGCTAACGCCTCGGCGAGCAAACTTTTGGGCTCAACACATAATGATCTTCTTCTACTCCTAGTAACATAATATACTATTTGTACGCAGCTACTTTGCTTGCCAAAAAGTTGAAGCAAACTGTATCTAAAAATTATTTAGTAATATCCTACAGTTCGCAAGTTTCGCTAAATAAGTAAACATTACTTGGAGACTATTTAAACAAACTCTATAAACAAACCCCTTTAAAAAAATTATTCAAGTCAACATAGAAAATATACGTATCTGTATCAAAATTTATTTTGATGTAATTTGGAAAATTCTTTACCTATACAATTGCGCGGGCCAGCACTGAAAGGGATGTAAGAATACGGCCTTGTTCCATCACTGTTTTCAAATCTGTCTGGGTCAAATTTTTCTGGGTTCTCAAAGTTATCTGGATCCCTGAGAATACTATAACTCAGGACTGTCACGTTAACATCTTTCGGAATCCTGTTGCCTAAAAAAGTCAAACTGGTTTGATCTAAACAAAAAGAATTGTTGCATTGCATTCTACAAGCAGATAATTCTACCTTTATATTGAACGTCTTGGGTTGTTGCTCTACCAAATACAGGAACTGGTGGATATAACCTGAGAGCTTCTTTGATGACCATTTCCAAATATTTCATTTCTTGCAAATCATTGTGAGTTGATTTTCTGTTTATGTTGTCTTCGAATATGTGTCTTTGTTCTTCCGCAGCCCGTTTCTAGAAACAAAACGTGTTTTGAAGACGAATCTGTATCTTTCTAGGTATAGAAAAAACAACAAGACTGAAATTGAATGAAACGTGACCTAGCAAGTATGAAACATTTTCGTTATGTATAAAAAATGAAATGTTACCTACTTGTACCTCAGGATGCATTGCCAACAAATACAATGAGAAGCTTGTAGCTGAAGAAACCGTATCGTGTCCCTGAAAGATATAGAGAGTATATGTAATGGACGGTATTTTACAAATAATGTTGCAAATCTGACCAATTTCAACACTTCTAAAAGTTAGTCTTATGCCAGCTTCACACTGCATCAAATGTCTTTGTAAACCAAACGTTTTTTATTCACATATCAGATAAATTTACACGTTTGATCTTGGTTTAGTAATCTCGTTATTGATGACTTGGAAACCATCCCAAAAATTTTTAATCATATTAAAGATGTTAAATACAGGGCACTGACATAAATTAAGAGTAACAAAGGTCTAAACACAGATCCCTGTGTCACTCCAGCACTGAGAGTAAAACAGGTTGATCTAGAATTATTCTGGGTTACATTTTATTGTATGTGTATTAAATATTTGTTTACAACGATTTCATGAGACACTCAACTGAATATTTCAGTAGTGTCTAAGGAACAGTATAACTGTCTTGCTCTAAAACCAGCATTAATCGCAATAATCAGTTGTAGAGAGATTGATTCAGAATCCAAATTGGTTAGAGCTTTCTTACCTCGAACATGAATGTGTCAACTTCCTCTCGGATATCTTCCCTAGAAAGGGGTTGCCCGTCGATGGTGGATTGAATGAGGATATCCAAGAAAGCCATTTTCTTCTTTTCTCCTACACTACTTGTTTCATCAGTGTAATTTATTTTATTCTGTTCCAGTTCCTCTCTTCTAGAATCTATCACCGAATTCGTCACTGAATGAAGCTCTTTTACTATTTTTTGTTCTTTATAATAATCCGGGCTCAATACGTAAAGAACCTCACTTCTTTTAATAATGGAGAAGGCCCTTTCTATGCTTATCCTGCACATTTCTTTGACATTTTCCACGTAACATGATTCCTTGTTTCTCTGTGCATTCACTGACACCCCCATAGCTGCCTCTAAAATTATAAATATAAAAAATTTGTATGTAATATATAAACAATTTCTGTTTCAGATATATTGAGGTTGAAATTAATAGAAACATTTCTTTTAAGTGATCTATCTGCTCCTAGCATCAACTTGACTTAAATAATTTTGAAAAAAATTGACAGTTTAATGAACTCGTATACACTATTTACCACATATTACATCAAGGGCAAAGCGGTTTATGAAAGGATAAACATCAATATCCTTGTCGACTTCCTTTTCCAACTCTGTTGTTAGTATCTCCAAATTTTGTTCAAAGACCTCGATAAATTGTTCCAGGATAGAGAAATGAAAGGCGGGGGTCACCAGCCTCCTGCGTTTCTTCCATTTCGGACCTACAGGAACAACTTTTCATTAATTTACAGTTCTAGCTACGTTAATACTACATTTTTATACATTACCGTCACTAGTTAACAATCCAGTGCCCAACCAATTGTGCAGATACTTGTAATCCGTCGACTTTGAAAGAACTTCCTGCCTGCTTAAAACGTATTCCACAAATTCGTAATCCGTTGACAAAATATGTGATGCCAGAAGAAAATCTACGTAGATTACTTTTCCATAACGTTTTATTAGTCTGTCAAAGTCTTGCAATGTTCCTGTAAGGACAACACATTTTTTACTAATTGTAAGTCCCGTACATACTCTAACACACAATAATTGGACGTCTCTGAGATATTCATCAATGAACCGTCAACGCAGTGTCTTTTGACTACTTGATGGTCCCGATTGGAAACATGAGAGAATTTTTGAACCTACATTCCGACATTAGAATGTTCCTGATTTGTAGAAAATATATGAATAGTGGATGTCTCTTTTAGGATAACCAAAATTAATTATAATGTTTTATAAAAAATAATTGATAATTACTTAACATAAATACATACAGTATAATCATTGAAGCTTTTCACCTCCAAATTCTTTGAAACTGTACCAATCGACTTGAAATTTGGCAGATAGTTAGAGAAAAGGTCAATGAATATTAGTGACGATTGACGCTTCCACCCTGTCGGGGTTGGAATTTTTTTCAAAAATAACGCTGGAAATCGATAGAAAATCAAATTTTAAGCAAAAAATATTCGAAGAATTTTTTTGGGAAATCAATAGTTTTTTAGTTATTCACGATTGAAAACTTGGAATTTTGAGTGAAAAAAAAACACTTTTTCAAAGTATTTTTCGCGAATAACTCAAAAACTACGCATTTTATTTAAAAAAGTGTCATGGACAAAAATATAGCTTATAAATAAACAAAGAAAATCGTTTTTTAAAAAGGGTTGTACGTCCTATACAAAGCGAAATATGGTTAATGGAAGGGGACTTGTTTTGGGGGGAATACTCCAATCGATGTATTCAACGTCAAATAACGGAAAAAGGATTAATTTTACGTGTATAACGCTTCTGGAGTTTTTTGTAGTACTCAAAAAGACCTTCAAAATGAGCACTTATAAAAGTTAATTAGAGCTAAATTGAAGGAGTTATATCAAAAACAGATGGGTTGCTCATATTTTTTAAGGAAAAATGAGCAGTAAACGCTGTACCATTTGCATCAGAATTAAAATTAATCGTAGACCCTTTGCAATTAGTTTTGTTTTAGTGATTTTCATACGATCCTGAAGTTATACCGATTTAGAATGCGTATTTTTTTTAATAATGTATGGTAAAAGTTGAAAATGTATTTTTCATTATTCAAAAAAATTGCCTAATGTATATAATAAATCTGAAACTATGAAAGATAGATACGTAAAAAATGATAGACAACAAAAATGTAGCTTTTTTTTTAACAAATATTTTGCTTTCTTTATTCCTATAGCATAAAAAATAAAGGAGATATCGCCGCTTGAAGTATCCATTTTAGTGAAAAAACGACCTGTCTCAAGCCCTTCGATCCTTTCCCTTTAAAAAACGAAGAACTTAAGAGGTCTTATATTACAGCTCTTGAAATTATCTTTAAAATGCTTTTTTGTAGGATACTATAGCTTCAAAATTAACCGAGTTATGGTAAAAAAACTAATGACATTTTTTCGGATCAAAATTTTTATTTTAAATAATTGCACCGTTAAAGCATTCCAAGCTTTTAGAAAGTAATTTTTTACCATTTAGGGGTTGAAAGGGAAAAATTCTTTTGTTAGCTATAAGGTAAGTTTTATTTTAAATAATTGCACGATTTAATCATTCCAAATCTTTAAAAAAGTAATTTTTTATCATTATTTTTTGCATAGGGGTAGTTTTTAAGGGTTAAATAAAGGGTCGAAAAGATCAAATATATCATAAAACATGTTCGAGAACATGGAACATTATTTAATCTTTGTGCTTGAACAAGATTTTTATNCTTTCTACTCTTTCTCCATCTTGCAGCTAGAAGACAAAATTTATTAATTTCTGTTTCCTTTATCCTATAACAATTATACCTTTCGCTATCAGTATTCCATCTCCCAACCATCTTTCTAGAAACCTGTATTCTGAAGATTTGTCCAAGATTTTTGTCGAGGTCAAAAAGAACTCAACCAGCTTTAAATCGGTTATTAGAACGAGCTTTCTGAATACCAGATCTACCATACACAAGCCGTCGTGTGATTTCGTATACTTCGACAGGATTGTTAAGGTATCTGAAACATAAATAATAATAATCTATTATTAGAACTATAAAATTAGTAGTATGAGGAAGTATCAATTTGTAATTGAACAATCGAATCAGTATTTTCCAATTCAACTGAATATCCTTAGAAGTAAATTCAATGTATTTGGTGTTTGTATAATTGATATTTACATAAAATTATTATCTCCATATTAACAACAGATATAATTTACTACTATTTTTTTTTAAATTTCATATAACAACAGATTAAGACGAAAAGTAAAAAGAATATATAGCGCCATTAAAAAAAATTGACAATCAATCAATAAAGTAGGAACTGAAAAACGTGTAAGTTAGTGCAAATTTTTAGTATTATTGATGCTAATGTTAATCTTTTGATTTTTAAAATCAGAACAAAACTGTCATAGTTATCGCTTTGACTATGTGTATGTATAATCATGTTCATAAGTAATTTTAAATAATATTTTTTAATATATAAAAAAATACTGAGACTGTTAAAATTATAGGTATCGTACCTTTTATTTACAACTTTTGAAACAAAAAGTGAAAGTTTAAAGAAAAAGTTAATAACTGCACATAGTTTTGCCAAGAAAATCACTTATTAATTTCTAAAAAGTCACTTATTTGAAGTAAAAAGTATAATTACCGTAAAAAGAAGATGGTATCTTAGCCATAAACCTTTAGCAAAATGTTTTTTGTTATGAGGCCTATTTAATGCAGATATTTTATTAGCGATAATACATTTTTACTTATGGGTGAAAGATATTTTAGTAGTAAGAGGGAAAAAAATTAGTGCGCAAATTAATTATAAGACTTTGAAAGTTAGATTACAAATTGTTTGAAATAAGTGACAAGCAAACTATTTTCTATAACGGTTCTGTTCTAAATCCAGGTTAGAAAACATGAATGATTCTACTTTCGCCAATTTAGACAGGCCTTACTTTTTTCTCCCACGTAACTCAGCCACGATCCACTTGTTACAACATTTCCGTATTTTAAAATCACTTATCACGAACCTGTTGTTTTCCCAAAGTCCAGAACATTCCCAAATATCGGGTGTCCGGGGACCTTCGGTATCCATTTCAGTCTTCTTTCATTCCTCTTCCAACTTATCCACCAATATGCGATGCCCGCTAACACTAGAGCTGTTACAATTTGTATGAACGAAAACATGGCGTTTATCTCACCGTTTCGCAAAGCTATGAATGACAGAACTCGTTACATGTGTGCAATTTATAAGGTTACAGATTATTACTTTCAAATAATTAGATGAGTTTGCGTTATTCTGATATGTTTGTACACGCTATGGAATAATCTATCAAAGTATTATTATCTGTTATTTATATTCGAGTGGATCAGTCAAGAGAAAGACAAATTTTAAATGTATTCTTTATTAGGTATACAAATTTTGAAATGTTTTGCCGAGACCAAATAGTAACACACTTTTACCATCTGCACGCCTATGACACGAAAGAAAACACCTAAGTTGGGCAAATCGAAAAATCCTTTCCTACACTTAACTAATACTCACAATTTTTTTAGATTAGAAAATTGTGTTCATTAATAGTGACTTTGGAACTCTGGTATAGCAAAAACAAGTAGAGTAAAAAAAGAATAAAAAAATCTGTTAAAAATCAATAATTCGTGGATTGTCGGAAGATGTATGAAGGTCTGAAGCTGACATCGCGGTCCGATTCTGTCTCAGTCGTAGAAAGATTGTTGAACGATTTGTCTTAATATATCGCATGTTTCTGATGGTAGTACAGAGGTGTTTTCCGTCGTTTCTGCTTTTTGAAAATTCAAAAGGTCAGTAAAAATGAATAACCAATAATAAATAGTAACTTTAACCAGATCTGGTTTACAAGTGGACCATTTTTTTAACTATGCTATAAGCTTAACCCTCCCGTTAGTTGTGCTCCAGATACTTACAATTATTAAATTTGTTTTGTGTGCGTGAGCGTAGGCAGAGGACGCCTTCTCCCTAATTGTTACTGCATGTTGCAAAAAGTGTTTAGGTTTTGAAATTTTATGGAGCTGGTCACTGATTGCGTGACCTTTTTTTAAGCCTCCATAGAGTTTGCAACCTTGGATCCACCCCTAGCAAAAATTCTAGCTACGCCCATGTTTGTATGTGACGATATCGGCAGCGAGAACTTTGACATTATGACAAGGTTAATATGAGAAGTCGGTTAGTCACCATGATTATCCACAGTAATTGGCACACAAAGAAAAAAAATGATACATTATTGGCAACTGTCTGCCTGATCCACACAGATTAATAACAGGACAAACGTCGATATTTATAAACAAAGATATATGGCCTGTTACACTAAGAATGAAGAAGCATTTTCTTCGTCTAAATTTAAGAATATTTTCTTGTATAAGCAGTTGCTTTTGAAGCCCTTCCTTTGTAGATACAGAGTGTTAAAGTTTACAAAACCAAACATATTATATCTCTAAATATCTTCTTAACAAAGGAACAACATTCTAAGTCGTACGTGAATAATTTGGCACCGCTTTTGTTCTTACTTTTTATTAATGATCTTCTGGATATTTTTTCATGTGAAAAACTGATGTTCGCAGATGATGTTAAATTATTCTCTGTAATAAATTCCCTTACAAACTGCGTCAGTCTACAGCTCTGTTTGAATCTGTATGGTTCATGGTGTGAATTTAATTGTTTATCTATTAACAACACCAAATGTAAGGTAATATATTTCACTCGTAAAACTAATTTTGTTGTCTACGACTATAATATTCATGCATACATCCTTAGCCATGTTGAACTGTTTAAGGATCTAGGCAAAACTTTTGACAGCAGACTAACTTTCATCGATCACATTAATAATGTTTTATCTCGTATATCCTTATAAAGTTATCCATTTCAAATTTATTTTCCCACACACTTAAACAAAGATTTAATTACAATTTTTACTTGACAGATGGAAACTGGATTAGATAGTTAACATCGAACTAATCCCACTTTCTAGGTTTTAGTTGGACCTTGATGCCATTTGCAGATTTTAGAACTGACTCTACGGATAATAACGGTTTATGTCTGGGGAAAGCTGGTAAGAGCTCGTAGTTCCTCAAAACCTTGGATATTACGGCTTTCATCTCGTGCATCGCGAACTTTTGCCCTAAAAATAATATATTGGCATTAGCGAAATTAAGTTAACTTGGAAATACTCACTTGTTCCTTTTTATAATCTGACAATCTTGTGATTGTTATAAACAAATAAAAAATATTAAAACTTTAGTCACCTATGCAATTGCGAGGGCCAGCGCTGAATGGAAGATGAATGAAGGCAGAGGTCTTGTCCATGGTCTCGAACCTCATAGGGTCGAATTTTTCTGGGTCGGGAAAAATGTTCGGGTCTTTGTGGATTCCGTAGATGTATATCATGAGGGTTGTTCCTTTAGGTAGGATTTGTCCATCTAAAATTGATGTATACAATGTATATTAATTAATGTATCCACCAAAACACTACGTGAGAAAAGTTATGGGAAAAATAGTGATACTCATGGTCTCATTGCACCATAATCCCATATCCCAATAATTTTTCTGGCGCGTTATCAGTTATGCAATGTTTTGTTAAAAATAACTAAAAGTGACGTCTTCAAACAAAAGTTATTTGTTTAAATAGGCAGTGAAGTACAAGATTTAATGCCGTAGCTGGTAACTAATAGTCGAGGCGCATTAAATCTACTTTACTTTAAGTTAAACACATAATTTTTTCGCCAATCAATTTTAATTTTATCATAAAAGCAAACAAAATTATGTATTTTATATATTATTAAAATTGTATGATACTTCTTTCAAGAATAATAATTATTTCATCAGGTCGTCTGTGGTTACTATTAGACGAGAGTTATTAAGTAAATAACTTATAGTCCACAGTACAGCCCCCCCCCTGGAAAGTTGATTACCACATACTTTATAACTCCGGAGGAGCATCCTTTTGACGAGTCTACCACATTTTTCCTCTGCGACTTTTCTCAATTCCTTCGTTTTTCCACTCGGAAAAGTCCAAAAACATGACAATTTCTCGGGGTCTTGAAAAGTCAAGACCACATCTTTTATTTTTAGCTAAGTAACTGGAAATTTTGTTGCAAATGCGGATTTAAATTTGTCCGACAGAAATTCTTCCGACATTGACGTATCTACCGGTCGAAACATGCCAAAATAACAGGGTATTGAAAATCAATTATCACATAGGTAATTTTTAGTAAAATTAATTGTAAATAATTAATTCAATAAAAAAGTATTGTTGTCCGACAATCAGAATTTTCACGGGGTATGATAAATCGATTACCACATGTCGGACAAAAATAACACACGATAGAAAAGTGTTTTTTTATAAGCAAAAATTGTAATGTCCGACAAAAATGTATCCGCAAATCGTCAGTCCGACAAAAAATGATGAAAAAAATTTCGTAAAAAATGTGCACATGTATTTATAATTTCTAATAAGGTATTTTCATGTATTAAGCAAAATTCCATGTAAATATACAATACAGGGTGTTTCAGAAAGACCTCCCGTAAATACAGGGGGTGAGGACGACAAAAAATAAGAAGAAGACTATATGTCTATCTCCTCAAGCTTACTTTGAGAAAAGTCACTTATTTTATAGTGTAATATTGTGAGAGTTTAATTAAAAGCCTTTTTTCTCGAAAATCGTCCACATTAGGAAGTTCTAACAATAGTACATTATTTTTAGAAAATAAAATTGTACAATAGAAATTGGAGCCCGAAATAAGAATGTAGCATAGCGCCCTCTATGAAATATACAAAAAATAATAAGACTAACGTATTTAGCACTCTTAAAAACCCCGGACTACCAAATTTCATAAAAATATTTCGCACCGTTTGGAAATTTTCATAAAAATGTTATTTAAAAAGTTTTATTTTGTCTCTCTGTATCTCGAAAACAAGAGGAGATAAACATATACATAGTTCATAAGACAAAAAATTCTCATTTTTTGTCATACTATCACCCTCTTTATTTACGGCAGGTCTTTCTGAAACACCCTGTATATATTTTTCGTTTTATTCTTGTAATTGTAAATCTCTATATGCTCAATTTAGCCAAATAAATATCGAGAAAAGAATTAAACGATTTCAAAAAAGTATGNAAATATTCATGCAAAACCATGCAGTTTCAAAGAATTCGGAGGTTACAGCTGATTTTCAGCTTCAATGACTGTACTAATATATTTTAGAAAGAATATACGTATAAAAGCAATATATTTATTCTAGAAAAAAGAATATATGTGGTAATGTAAACAAACGCTGCAGCTGATACGAAATATAAATTATTTTCTTTCTGTCTTTCATTAGGAATTAGGATTACTATTTCTGTTTCTCTATGGATATTGTTTTCCATTTTCTTTTCGTAACGCGGCACACCACGTTTATTAAAAAAAAATCCCCTGGAATACCTATCTCTTTAATTTAATATTTATTTATAGTAATTAGAGATGATGAAAATTATATCGTTTTAAGGAAAAATATTTCCATTTAAAAATGTAAGACACCCTTATTTTCGGGAGACACAAAATCCAAAGACTCGATCAAAGACAACAGAAATGACAATTTATTAATTTGATGGTAGCACCACCACATGATTTAAATAAAAAATTAAATCTAATTTCGTTTAACAAGAGACGATTGTATAAGAGGTTTCTTTATATCTTAAGCCTGTATTAGACAATGCAATTTTGTTGCAAGGATTTGATTGCCGCGATAGAATCCATTAAATTTTTCTCATCAGACTATGCAAATCTGTCCCGGCAACTGAATGCATGTATTACAACATGCTCTATTCCGTGCGACAAAATTGCATGGATTCTAGTTACTTTTATGAAGATTTGTTTATTACCAACCTAATTGTTGTTGGCTGTTGATCATGGTTGTTGTTAGTAACGCCGTTGAAGCCACTATTAAAGCTATACAGTAATTTACTTTACTAAATTTTCATCCATTGCAATGTTTCGCTTGAATAAAAAATAATCGTTTACAAGATACATACAAGAAATTTTACATGTGTTTTACAATGCACAGTTGGTAACAGTACTGCAAAGTATACAAATTGCAGCAATTCTCTCCCATTGTGTGATAATAAGCATACAATTTTATCCCCGCAACAAAATCCCCGCAATTTTGTCGCTGCAACTAAATTGCATGGTCTGATACGGGCTTCAGTACCCTTAAGAAATTGTACTGATCATGCCTATTGCAACGAATATTTTAAATATATGTACTTACTTGTATTATCGCCAAATTCTAAGGCCGCTCCAAGCAAAGGCCATCCCGGAACAGCGGGCAGCCACTCCAATGTTTTTTTCCGTACATAATACTTATAAAAATTATAAAGGAAGCGCAAACATAATATAAAAAAAATCGTCAACAAAAAGTGTAACGCGACGTTCATGTCTATACTTATATATATTGGAACAAAAGAGAAAGAACGATGACGTAAGATATGATAATAATTCAGACCAAAACACCGTGACTTGCGACGGTTTTAAACACAGATGATAACAAAAGTACTTCAACACTCGCTTTTAGCACAGAGTTATTTGAAAAAACTCGTTCACAATCATAAAGCGGATCTCAAATGGATTTTGTAATTAAGATACAATTACATTGCACGATTTATAATTTTTTAATAAATTTAGAAAAACTGGTTTTAATTACGGAAACGAACTAGACACGCAATATAGGTAATCTGTCGACGCAGAACCAACTTTAAAACCTTATACATTATTCTAAACTCTACATGTTTTTATGTAAATTTTCACTCAAAATCAACACAATTTTTTGTTAAAATGAGTCCACACTCACTGTGTTTGTTGTCATTTAGCATCTGGATGGTATCGGATGGAACCGTAGACTGGCTTATATAGCGACTTTGGTGAAAGCACTTAGGAACCTGATTTGGAGCCCAGCCACAGAATATAAAACAATTTTATCTTCTGTGGCCCAGCGCTCAGCCGTGTCCTAGTATTTGATTGTGTATGCATCGCTGTGATTTCGATAATAATTAGACGTTTTATCATGGGCAAGTGTATTGTAAAACATTGTATAAATANAATTTAGTAATTTCTGTTTCCTTCATCCTATAACAATTATACCTTTCGCTATCAGTATCCCATCACCCAACCATCTTTCTAGAAACCTGTATTCTGAAGATTTGTCCAAGATTTTTGTCGAGGTCAAAAGGAAACCCACCAGCTTTAAATCGGTTATTACGACGAGCTTTTTGAATACTAGATCTACCATGCACAAGCCGTCGTGTGATTTCGCATAATTCGACAGGACCGGTAAGGTATCTGAAACACATAATTTCTATTATTAGATGTATTGACATTTCATTTAGTTTTCGTGATATTATTATCTGAGTGCAAAATGTTTGAATGTTACTGACGATTTTTTAAATGTGGAATTTTTTAAATAACGATGCAACGTAGGATTTTGCATGAAGCTGGAGAATGCTTTCACGGAAACGTTTCTACTTTTGAAACAAGCTTATGGAGATGATGCTCTGGGTCGTACGCCATGGTAAGAATGGTTTTCACGATTTAAAAGTGATCGTCAGTCTATTGAAGATGATCCTCGATGAGGACGGCCTTCGACTTCAACTGATGACTCCCATGTTCAGAAAATCTAAAATCTGGTGCTTGCAAATACCCAATTGACTGTCGGAGAAATTGCGTCTCAGTTGGATGGTGCCGTGAAACTTTAACTAAAAAATTGAACATGTGTCGAGTAGCAGCAAAATTTGTTCATCTTTGATGACCGAACAACAGAAAGAAATCATGTAGACGTTTGTCAGGAACTCCTTAAAGATTCCAATGATGATGAAACATTTATTCAAAGGATCATCACGGGAGACGAAATCTGGGTTTAAGACTATGAATTGAGACTAAAGTTCAATCGTCCTAATATACTGGTAAAGGACTTCCACGCCCCAAGAAGTCACGTCAGTCTCGATTCAATGTCTAAGTGATGCTCACTGTTTTTTTTTTCAACTTTATTGGAATTGTGCATGCCGAATTCTTGCCTCAAGGTGAAACAGTGAACCGTGTGGACTTTCAAGTCATTTTACGATGATTACGGGAAAAAATCTGCAAAAAGAGACCAGAGTTCTGGCGAAACAACTCATGGTTCTTGCATCATGACAATGCGTCCGCATACTTAGCTTTGTCAATTCGTCAGTTTTGTACCAAAAATTAGATTACTGTCCTCCCTTACCCTCCGTACCCACCAGAACTGGCTCCTGGAGATTTTTTCTTATTTCCGAAATTAAAATCAGTGCTGAAAGGACGTCGTTTTCGAACTATTGATGACATCAAAGAAAATTCATCACAGACTTTAAAGGCTATCCAGGATTACTTCGCAAAATGGCAACACAACTGGGAAAAGTGTGTGGACAGTGGAAGTACTTTGAAGGAGACCAGAATGATATAAAATTAATAATAAATTTTAAAAATATAAAGTTCGCCTTATAATATTTGTTTTATATACAAAAATCCTGAGACTGTCTTAATTATAGGTATCGTGCTTTTTATTTACAACTTTTGAAACATAAAGTGAAGGTTTAAAGACAAAATTAATAAGTGCACATAGTTATGCCAAGACAATCACTTATTAATTTCTTTCTTTTTTCACCTATTTGAAATAAAAAATTATAATTACCATAAAAAGAAGATTTAATCGTAGCAATAAACCTTTCTGCCAATAGCAAGTTTCTTTAGCAAAATTTATTATGAAGCCTATGTAATGCAGATATTAGGCTTTTTTTCGCGAGTGAATATTGGTGAATACGTCTGACTTGTAGTTACTGTTTCTATCTCTTTTAATCTTATTTCTAACCTTGTCTAACCTGAACAGATGGCGAAAATGTATATATTCACTATTCAGTGATATGTAGTATGTACTTTGACGACTTTGACATATGGGTTTTAACTTCTCCCAAATATTGTCCGTTGCTCTTCCACAGCTCGTGCCTGTAGAACAATAATGATTATTTTTTTACTCTATTACTCTAATATATGAAACAAACAAATTAAAAAAAGGTTCTGAGTACAAAAACTAGTAATAAAATATGTGGGAAACAATTCATATCATGTTCAGGATATCAGGACACAAAGGTACTGACAGAAATGAGAAAGCGAATCAACTTGCTGGAAGGGATCCTTAAACAGATTTCATTCTCTGCTGAGGAGGCTCGGGGCAAACGACTGAGTCAGAATATAGAAAATAATTACTGGGCTTCGAGTCCACGACCAAGCCATGCGAAGGAACTTATGTGTCCTTCAGCTTAGAAGAGTGATGGGGACAGTCGTTTTAGGAAATATCTATACAAGCTAAGGCTTGTAGACAGTCCGATCTGCCTAGGACGTGACTGGGCGAGTGTCCAGGACAGTGGGAACCCCAGAAGCAGAGACACGTGTCGGCAAGGAAGCTTTTGGACTTTGGTAAAAGGACAAAGCTAAACAGGTTTGAAATGGTGCTTACCTGTACTTCTGGATTCTCTGCTAAAGAATATAAGGCGAAGCTGATGGCTACACCTGTGGTATCATGTCCCTGAAAACATAATTTTTCAAATTTCTCTAAAATAATTTTCTTTATAATTTCATTACAAGCTGCCTACTTTCATCAACGAACCTCAAATAACAGCGTGTTGACTTCTTCTTTGATGTACCAATCAGGTAAAGGTTCGCCATCTACTTTAGACAGTAACATTAAATCGAGGAAGGCTAATTTCTTTTTTTCACCCAAATCTTCATCGGTTCGCTGTCCTTCACTTCCCGATAGATTAGCCTGTAAGGCTTTCCTCCTAGCACGAATCACAGAGTCGGTGTTGGCGTGCAAGAATTTCACATATTTCGATTCCTTGTAATAATCTCTCGTTAATGGATACAGCATATTCGACTGCTTCAGGGCCGAAAAACCTCTGTCGATGGTTATCCTGCATATTTCTTTGACCGCGAAAGCATATTCCGGTTGTTTGTTCGTCTGGGCGTTTATCTTTACACCCATTGAGGTTTCTGAAACACAAACGTCAAAAAACATTCGTAATATTACACACTTCTAGGTTTAGGTATATTTCATTTAATAAAAGTCATCCTTACCATAAATTACATCCAAAGTACACATCGTTACATAATTATAGATATCCACGGAACCTTTCCCAACTTCCTTCTCCAATAGCTGCACCATGATCTCTGCATTAGAATCATAAGTAGAAACGAACCGGGCGAGTATGCCGAAATGGAAAGCGGGAGTTATTATCTTCCTACTCTTTCTCCATCTTGCAGCTAGAAGATAAAATTTAGTAATTTCTGTTTCCTTCATCCTATAACAATTATACCTTTCGCTATCAGTATCCCATCACCCAACCATCTTTCTAGAAACCTGTATTCTGAAGATTTGTCCAAGATTTTTGTCGAGGTCAAAAAGAACTCAACCAGCTTTAAATCGGTTATTAGAACGAGCTTTCTGAATACCAGATCTACCATACACAAGCCGTCGTGTGATTTCGTATACTTCGACAGGATTGTTAAGGTATCTGAAACATAAATAATAATAATCTATTATTAGAACTATAAAATTAGTAGTATGAGGAAGTATCAATTTGTAATTGAACAATCGAATCAGTATTTTCCAATTCAACTGAATATCCTTAGAAGTAAATTCAATGTATTTGGTGTTTGTATAATTGATATTTACATAAAATTATTATCTCCATATTAACAACAGATATAATTTACTACTATTTTTTTTTAAATTTCATATAACAACAGATTAAGACGAAAAGTAAAAAGAATATATAGCGCCATTAAAAAAAATTGACAATCAATCAATAAAGTAGGAACTGAAAAACGTGTAAGTTAGTGCAAATTTTTAGTATTATTGATGCTAATGTTAATCTTTTGATTTTTAAAATCAGAACAAAACTGTCATAGTTATCGCTTTGACTATGTGTATGTATAATCATGTTCATAAGTAATTTTAAATAATATTTTTTAATATATAAAAAAATACTGAGACTGTTAAAATTATAGGTATCGTACCTTTTATTTACAACTTTTGAAACAAAAAGTGAAAGTTTAAAGAAAAAGTTAATAACTGCACATAGTTTTGCCAAGAAAATCACTTATTAATTTCTAAAAAGTCACTTATTTGAAGTAAAAAGTATAATTACCGTAAAAAGAAGATGGTATCTTAGCCATAAACCTTTAGCAAAATGTTTTTTGTTATGAGGCCTATTTAATGCAGATATTTTATTAGCGATAATACATTTTTACTTATGGGTGAAAGATATTTTAGTAGTAAGAGGGAAAAAAATTAGTGCGCAAATTAATTATAAGACTTTGAAAGTTAGATTACAAATTGTTTGAAATAAGTGACAAGCAAACTATTTTCTATAACGGTTCTGTTCTAAATCCAGGTTAGAAAACATGAATGATTCTACTTTCGCCAATTTAGACAGGCCTTACTTTTTTCTCCCACGTAACTCAGCCACGATCCACTTGTTACAACATTTCCGTATTTTAAAATCGCTTATCACGAACCTGTAGTTTTCCCAAAGTCCAGAACATTCCCAAATATCGGGTGTCCGGGGACCTTCGGTATCCATTTCAGTCTTCTTTCATTCCTCTTCCAACTTATCCACCAATATGCGATGCCCGCTAACACTAGAGCTGTCACAATTTGTATGAACGAAAACATGGCGTTTATCTCATCGTTTCGCAAGTCTATGAATGACAGAACTCGTTACATGTGTGCTATTTATAAGATCACCGATTACTACAAACAAGTAATACCTATAGATTAGTTTTCGATATATTTGTACACGCTATGAAATTATGTAAGACGGTATTTGTTATTTGTATTCGAGTAGATCACAGTCGGAGAAAGTGCTTTTTACATGGATTTTTGGTAACGGTGAAACGCAAAAATTTCCAACAGAAAGAAAAATTGTTACGTATCATATACAGTTCCAATACGACAATTATACAGGGTAGCCAAATGAAAACAAAACAGAGCCATTTTCAGGAACTGCGTCAAGATTGTAGAAAAACGCTCAGACCCTTCGGTAACATGTAACTTTAACTACATTTGGTTTGCAACCATTTTTTAAGCAGCCTCCTTAGCCCTCGTCTTAGTTACGCTCCTGAGACTTACAATTATTAAATTGGTTTTNAGTTGAATAGTTTACAAGTTATGGCCTTATAAACAAATTAACTAATTATTAGTCTGGACGATCCCGAGGATCTTCCACAATCGCACTAATTTTTTTCATGGTAAATTTCATAATAATACATTGAAATCTATATATTTTTTTTAATTTCAAATTTGCAACCTGGAATTTTTTTTTATTTATAATAAAAAAAATATTCGTACCTGGGCAAATGAAAATCCTCACTGTAACAGGGAGTCAAGGACGCACATCGTTTATTGTTTGGTGCGGTATATTGAGAAATAAAATCATTGGCCCACTATTTTATGAAAATGCTTTGACTGCGGAAAGATACCTGCATTTTCTTGAAAATCAAATAGAAAACAAAGACCTACCGCTGATCGACTATACCAATTGAATTTGGCATAATAGGTTTGATATGTGGACTGGTAATGGAAGAAATATTCAATGGTCTTCAAATAGCCCAGACCTTACACCACTGGACAGTTTTCCGTGGGGTTATTTAAAAAACGAGGTTTATAAGGAAACTAATGTAAACTTAGAATAGAGACATAAATTTGATCAACAGTAACATATTACATATTTTTGAAAAGAGAAAAACGAAGCTAAGTATGCACTAATATATAGGGTGTCCCATTAAAAAAATGTTTTTCTTTAATTTAGTGATTTCCATTATTCAATTGTTTTTTCTAATACTGTATTATAAAAATTTATTAAAAAATTGGTTGTATTAAAAACTTTTGTAATTTCAATAATAAACTCACAATAAGTTGTCAGATTATAGTGACTAACCCTGTACAAACTAACGGAATAGCCGGCAGCGAAATTGCAATGAAAAATAAATTCTTTCAGATTCCTTTCATAATTAATATATTAATATAAAGTAGGTAGGTATAATACATTGCGTTTACTTTGTTATTGACATTGATCTGCATAACCTTATATTGTTATCTATTTCGAATTTATTTTCCTACCAGCGTAAAAAAGTGAGAGACATAGATTTCATTGACAATTAAGTTTACTTGACGGGTGGAAGTTGGATTAGTTAACATCGAACTAATCCCACTTCCTAGGTTTTAGTTGGACCTTGATCCCATTTGCAGATTTTAAAACTGATTCTGCGGCCAATAACGGTTTATGTCTGGGGAAAGCTGGTAAGAGCTCGAAGTTCCTCAAAACTTTGGATATTACGGCTTTCATCTCGTGCACCGCAAACTTTTGCCCTAAAAATAATATATTGGCATTAGCGAAATTATTAAAACTTGGCAAATACTCATTTTTTTCTTTTTGTAATCTGACAATCTTGTGATTGTTATAAACAAATAAAAAATATTAAAACTTTAGTCACCTATGCAATTGCGAGGGCCAGCGCTGAATGGAAGATGAATGAAGGCAGAGGTCTTGTCCATGGTCTCGAACCTCATAGGGTCGAATTTTTCTGGGTCGGGAAAAATGTTCGGGTCTTTGTGGATTCCGTAGATGTATATCATGAGGGTTGTTCCTTTAGGTAGGATTTGTCCATCTAAAATTGATGTATACAATGTATATTAATTAATGTATCCACCAAAACACTACGTGAGAAAAGTTATGGGAAAAATAGTGATACTCATGGTCTCATTGCACCATAATCCCATATCCCAATAATTTTTCTGGCGCGTTATCAGTTATGCAATGTTTTGTTAAAAATAACTAAAAGTGACGTCTTCAAACAAAAGTTATTTGTTTAAATAGGCAGTGAAGTACAAGATTTAATGCCGTAGCTGGTAACTAATAGTCGAGGCGCATTAAATCTACTTTACTTTAAGTTAAACACATAATTTTTTCGCCAATCAATTTTAATTTTATCATAAAAGCAAACAAAATTATGTATTTTATATATTATTAAAATTGTATGATACTTCTTTCAAGAATAATAATTATTTCATCAGGTCGTCTGTGGTTACTATTAGACGAGAGTTATTAAGTAAATAACTTATAGTCCACAGTACAGCCCCCCCCCTGGAAAGTTGATTACCACATACTTTATAACTCCGGAGGAGCATCCTTTTGACGAGTCTACCACATTTTTCCTCTGCGACTTTTCTCAATTCCTTCGTTTTTCCACTCGGAAAAGTCCAAAAACATGACAATTTCTCGGGGTCTTGAAAAGTCAAGACCACATCTTTTATTTTTAGCTAAGTAACTGGAAATTTTGTTGCAAATGCGGATTTAAATTTGTCCGACAGAAATTCTTCCGACATTGACGTATCTACCGGTCGAAACATGCCAAAATAACAGGGTATTGAAAATCAATTACCACATAGGTAATTTTTAGTAAAATTAATTGTAAATAATTAATTCAGTCAAAAAGTATTGTTGTCCGACAAATTTCAAACCGCGTTCAGTCCGTCAGCTGGAAATCGGAATTTTCACAGGGTATGAAAAATCGATTACCACATGTCGGACAAAAATAACACACGATAGAAAAGTGTTTTTTATAAGCAAAAATTGTAATGTCCGACAAAAATATATCCGCAAATCGTCAGTCCGACAAAAAAAGATGA